TTCAGGACGAACCCAGAAACCCTTCTTGTGACCTCACAGCCGAGGTCCCCCCAGGTATCTGGTGGGGCGGGACAGGAGCTAACGGCCGAGTCACCCCGTCTGGCATTTTCCATGTGGGGCAGATGGCTCCTTCCCGGAAACGAACAGCTGGGTGCACGGCATCCGCCTCCCTCTTGCTGCCCAAGCGCTTATTTCTGAAGTGGCTCCCCTGGGTGGCCCTCCCAGGCTCTGGCTCGCTCTCTGATTACAGATGATCACTGCTACCCTGTCACCTTTTCTTCTGTAGTGAGACTCACTCCCTCCAGGAATGTTCTTGCTCTTCGCAGCCTCTGTCTGCCGCTGGAGAAGGTACCTGGATGAGGGAGGGGCAGCCCTCTGGGTGTGCGGGCACCTGGACGGCTGCAGGGGACAGGAGGTGGTGAGCATCCCACCCGCCCTCTCTGGGCTGGCCCCGTGACTCCAGTCTCTTGCTGCCTGGTAAGCCAGCTGGATCTAGCTTAGCTGGGACAAAAGAGAGCCAGGGCATAGGGGATTTGTTTTCATTTGGTTTTGTGTGTTTTGTGTCTAAAATACAAAAATGGCATTGGACTCAAAACATTTCCCCCCTCCTCTTTATCCGAAGAGAACAAACAGTGAAGTGTCCATCGTGACTGGTTCAGGCCTGAGCTTGGCAGATGATCGAGATTTCTTTGCACGTGGGCCTCTGCGGTTGCCTCTCCCCACACAGTCCCCAGGTCCAGGAGGCAGGGGAGGCAGGGAAGGGGGTCAGACCAGCCCTCTCTCCCTGGAGGCTGCCCGGCCTGCTCCTGCCTGAGGGGCGTTTGCGGCTGTCAGACCCGACCTTGTGATAACAGGTGGTAGAGGCGTGGGTGAGTCGTTGGTGGAAACCGCAAAATAAAATGCTGCGTTGTTTTTATGAACGTGACCTGGATTTAGTCTGCTCGGGAGAGCAGGGCAGCAATCGTCTCTATGCAAGAAACCGGGGTGATGGGGGCCTGCCCAGACAGTCCCGGGACGAGCCGGTCTGTGAGAAGCCCCCAATGGAAGCTTCTTGGCAGGGTTTTGTGTTGGAGAAAATGTGGTTGTGGAGCAGAGTGGGGCTGGCCTCCCTCTGACTTCACCAGCTTCCCGAGTCACCAGCGGTGCATCCTGCCCTCCCCTCGGCTCCGCCGGGCTGTCTGCTGGGATACCGTGCGCCCGGTGAGCCTCGGTCCCCAGCAAAACTTGCAGCTCTCATTCCCGGCACGGACTGATTCTCTCTCTGCAGGACCACAGTTTGGTCAGGATGCACCATTCAGGGCCTCCCTGACCATCTCATCCCCTATCCTTGGGTCGAGGGAAGCTCTTCTATTCCCCCAGGGCGGGCACTGCAATTAGGAGCCTCTCAGAGCTGAGCCAGTCAGCAAGTGTTAATGAGGGTCCCGTGGGATCTCGCCCCGCACGGAGTGAACAGAGGACCCGGTGGCTGGCCTCCGGGACTTCGGGTAAGAAGGAGTTTGCTGTCTGGAGCCAAATTCCTGCTCTGACTCATCACCATGACCATCAGGAGGCCTCTCATCACTGCTGTAGCCCCAGCTCCTGGGCACAGATGTTCGGCCCAGCGTTGTCAGGTCGGGCAGGCAAGTCCTGTCATCAGAGGCTTTAGAGCCAGAAGGGGCTGCAAAGACTGCCATCCAGTGACAAGCTGGGCTGAGACAGATTTTGGAAACAGGAGAGAGCCACAGAGACCCTGAGCCCCATTGAGGGCAGATGTTACCGAAGACGTGCTTCTTCCTTCCAGAGAGGGACTAGAGTAGGGCCCGGAGCTGGACTGGGGTGGTAGGTGAGCTTGTGTTCATTGTCCCTCCGGTGGCTTTCATAGCAGCCACCTTTGCTGGTCCCGAAAGTCAAGGGAGGATTCGCCTCAGGATGTTTTTAAAGGGACACGTCCTTGACATTGCTTTCCGTCCAGGATTGCACCTGCTGGGGGCAAACTGCCCTCCCTTTCTCCCCGGCAGGGTGCACAGACACTGCCCACCAGGCAAGGGCAGGATTCCTTTGTTAGAGTGCGAGGGTCTTGGACAGCTTGGCAAGGACTATCCCTGATGCAAGGTGATGCCACCAGCCTGGTCCCCAGAGGCAGACTGTTGGAATCTAGGACCTTGTCCCAGAGGTCCAGGTCTCCAGCAGCAAGGAAAATGTGCTTGATCTTGGCTTTTTAATCTTGGACAATGAACATGAGCTCAGAATTGTGCTTCATTAAAATAGTTACTGAATAAACAGTAGTCACCAAAAGTCACTTATGGAGAGCAGGGGGGAAAAGCAAAGGTTTTAGGCACAAGCTGGTGATGACTTGCTCTCTTACCAACTGTATCTCAGCTTAGCTCAGACCTGGAGGGCGAGAAAAAAATGATCATGAGCTTTTGATTTAGACCAAGCCTGAGTTCTGTCCCAGGTTCCTTCCTGTCCTTGCAGAGGGGATTAAGTGAGAACATGGCAGGGGCTGTATTAATCAGGAGTCTTTGGTTGCAAGTGACCCAAATCCCAAACTCAAATAAGGAAAAGGAAAATTCATTGGCTTCAATAGCTTCAGGTCTGGCTGGATCCTGGTACTCAAACACTATGGTCAGGACCAGGTGTCTGTTTGTCTCCGCCTCTGAGCTCCTCTGTGTTAGCTTCCTTCCCAGGTGGACTCCTCTCGTGGCGGGTCCCGGCCACTCCAGACCTTTGATTTACCAGCTTTACGACCGTCTGTTCTTTCCTAATTGCTCGTTGCACAGACCTGCACCAATCACAGAGCGTGCCTGCCATGTGGATCCATGTGGGGTCAGGCGATCGGTGAAGGAATAGCAGACACTTTCCTGCCCAAATCCTCCTGGCCCGCCAGTGAACCTCACTATGGTACAGCTGTGCACCCTCCTGTCCCACAGGAGGTCCCCCAACCCCGAGTTCTGCCTCAGGGCTTTTTCCAAAGCTAAGGCAAGGTGCCTGGGGGCAGTTAGCACCCCCAGAAGCCACCCTCTGCCAAAGGGGGATGAAAGTCTGTGCCTGTAGAAGGACAAAATGAGGCAGAGAGTCAGCCCCACCTGAAGCGTGTGCACGGAGAGGAAATTCGGTGGAAGGCGAGGGCAGGATGCCAGGCCTTAGTCCTGGGGCTCAGCTCTTAGTCCCCTTCTTGGTCCCCTGTCTGTCTTGGGGTGAGCAGGTCATGTCTCCTCTGCCTCTGCCTTCACATTTTTCGTGAAGGGCTCCTTGAGACAAGCTTGTTTTCCCTTTTGCATCGGTTTTCTGTCGCTGCTGTAACAAATTACTATAAACCTAGGGGCTTAAAACAACACAAATGGACTCTTGCAGCTCTGGAGGCCTGAAGTCTGAAGTCAGGAGGTCGGCAGGGCCGTGCTCCCTCCAGGGGAGAATCCTTCCTGGCTCTTTCAGCCCCCGCTGGCTCCCACCGGTCTTGGCCTATGGGCCTGTCCCTGCAGGCTTTGCCTCCGTGGTCACATGGCCTTCTCCCCGGGGTGGCTCTTCCAAGCCTCCCTCTGCCTTCCTCTTGTAAGGACCCCGGCAACGGCATTTAGGGTCCACCCAGAGAGTCCAGGATAATCTCCTCATCCGAAGACCCTTAATCACATCTGCAAAGACCCTTTTTCTAAATAAGGTCCTATCTCGGGTTCTGGGGATTAGGATTAGGGGCAGCATTTTGCAACGTACCACACCCTTTTGAGTTGAGGCCAAATTTCTAAATCAATCTTTGTCTCCCATTTTCTTTGGGACTCTTGTTTTAAATCTTTCTGAAACTTTCTAATGTAATTTTAAATGTAACTGAATGTAAAGCCCCCCCCTCCGCCCCCCGCCCAGGGAGAGTGCATGGGTCCTCCCGGTATATAAATGATACAAAGCTGGGGTGATCCAGGCTCATCGGGCTTTTATTGAGTGCCTACTCTATGCCAGGCTCATTCACCCCTCACAATGACTCATCTGCCCAATTTACAGACGCAGAGACTGAAATCCAAGACTGTAAGGAGGTCACATAGCCAGTGCATGGCAGGGCGAGACCTGGGGTCCATGTCCTCTGAGTTCAAGCGCAGACTCTTGCACTGGGTCTGCTGGGCTCATCTGGGGCCACTCATGACACTGGACTCCGTCGAAGCATTTGTTGGTGCCCTCCAGTCTGGACTGGACTCCTGTGCATCGCTTGAACACTTCCCACCCTCCCCAGGCCCCTTTCCCTTGTGCTTCCCAGCGTCAGGCTGGTCCAGTCAAGGTCCACAGGTGCGACACCTTCCTGTGTGGGCACAGACTTCCCCTGTCTTGAGGTGCCCTGCTGGCATGCGGCCCCCCCGGTGCTCAGCTCCACGGGAGATGGGCGCACAGCTTCTCTCCCTGCCCCCTCACTGCCCACACGGACTCCGAGTGTGAAGGATCCTCTCAGAGCCCCCAGCCCTCCCACAACTCTGTCCCCATGTCACACTCTAAATGACAGCACTAACCCATCCCTCTGAAATCTGAACTGTCACCTTCTGGGGCTGCCCCTGTCCACCCGGGTCACCCTCCCTGCTAAGAACACAGAAGCATTAAATGCTCCTGTCCTCTTCAAAGATCATTAGCCAAGAGCAGGCGACAAATTTATTTCCTTTTGCTTCTTCTGGTTCTGGCTAAACACAGGGACTTCAGGCAGCCGTCGGAGGGCGGGGTACTTTTCCGAGGCTCTCTGCCTTGCCTCTTTGACCTTGCCTTCTGGCTGCCTCCTGATTCCTACAATGTGACATGCATGCACCGTCCGGACCAAAAACAAGGTCAGCCTTGTGCTCCTGGGAGGGCGGAGGTGGGGATGGGGGGCCGCTCTCCTCTTCACTGGGCCCTGTGGGTCTATCCAGCCGATCATAAAGAGCCTTTAGGATGTTTCTCTGATTCTTACAATGTCCTTTTCCCAGAAGTCACCAATGAAATACTTGTTCTCTAGGATATTTTATGCCATTGAACGGACCTATCTGACTGAGGGTCCCCAGATCATTTACAATTCTCCCCCAGGTGTGTGTGCTGGAGACAAAGGGCCTAAACGCACTCTTCTGAGCTGTGGCCGAGCCTGGTCCCCAGCCTGGAGGATGCCAGCCTTCCGAGAAGTCTGAGGTCTGGCCCTGCTCCGGACCTCATCCAGGAGAGCTGGGCTGACACAAATGTGTTCTGTGCCCTTAAAAATGGCAGGCCAGTGGCAAATAAAACCCGATTCTTGGCTCTGCGTAGGCAGCCTTTGCCTGGGGCTCCAGAGCCCGTGCGCCAAAGAGCCTCTTTGTCCGACCTGTCACATGCTCCCTCTGTGTAGATTCCACGGAGGCTCCGAGGAGACCTGGAGGGAGGGCCGCAGGCTGATCCAAACCGCCTCTATAAATAGCCAGGCTCAGGAATTCGCTAGAAGTAGGGACTGTTTTCACAGGTTTGCGACTTCGTTTTTTCCAGTAATCCAGCTGAGTGCTTCTGGGCTGGGGCCACAGCAAGGGTAGGGACAACTTGGAGGGGGTGGGGGAGCCCTCTCCCCGCCGTCTAGGAGGGGCCTGCCGGCCTGCTTGGCTCAGGATCCGCGCACCGTCTCTGGCCCTGTGGCCGGCACGTGACTCTGGTTATCTGGGACAAGCCGTGGTGCCCAAGTTCAAAAGCATCTTCCCCTGGGCCAGTCCCTGGCCGACGCATCTGGTAAGCATCAAAACAAGACAGAGAACACTGTGTAACAGGAACCAACTCTGGACTGTTCCAGGCATTCCTTGTGGAGAAAACCCTTTCTATCAAGTCTGAATTCCTCTGCTTTTAAGTAAGCCGCGTGCACTTCTCCCGAGCAGCCCGTTACCAGCCAGCTGTGTGAGCAGCTCAAGATCGGTGACCACCTGGATTTTGCTTCCTCATCAGTGAAATGAAGGATGTAGCCCAAGCGGTCTCCAGCCCCACTGGATTCAGCTCAACAGCCTCGACTGAGCACGGGGCCCCAGGCACTCAGGAGCCGAGAGAGGGGTGTGCTGTGAGGCATGGGTGCCCGGAGTGGGGTCCCAGGGGCCTGCAGGTGGGTGATCAGGGGTGGAAAGGGGCCACCGAGGTCATGGCAGGGCTGTGCCAGCTTGGGGCAGCACATGGGACGGAGGCAGCAGGAAATCTGACCTCTTGTGGGCCGAGTCAGGTGGCCCTGGAGGGGAAGGCTCCCAGGGAAGTGACTCAGTGCTCCTGGGGACAAGGAGGAGGAGGTGCTCTCCAGCTGGCTGAGGCCAGGACAGCGCAGTTTTGCATCAGAGAGGCATGGGAAGGTCAGACAAAGATTGACAGGACCAGGACCCAATGAGAAGGCCAGCATGCCCGCCCCCAAGCATCCCCTCCTCTGAACCCCGGGCCCCAAATCTCTCTCTTCCCTGCACTAGTCCTGATATCCCAGCTCCCATCCCTGGCTTTATTCATTCATTTAGGAAGTATCTATGGAGCTCCTCCCATGAGGCTTCATCCCAACCCCTGTTCAGCCCTGCTCTGGACCCTGACCCCCTGAGGAGACCCCACCTCCCACCGCCAGCACCACTCACCTGTGCCCTCTCAATGCGACCACTTCCAGCTGCTCTGGGGAGACACCTTGGTTGTGTCTCGTCCCCCAGGAGTACCCGGAGCGCAGACCCCGGGACTCACAGGCCCAGGAGATGGGACCCTCGGGTGGTCAGCATGAGCGAGGCTGCCAACAGAAGCACCTTCCCTCCTCCTTCCTCTGGGGCCAGAGGAGTGATGGATTTGGGGCGATCGGGTTCTTTAGCAACAAGAGGTGTTTTCAGAAATAAATTCAGACATAGACAGTTAGAGGCAGAGAGTAGCTAAATTTTTCCTCAAAAGGAAGATGAGGGGGTGAGCAGGCCTCCTTCCCCTGCTGGTGATTTGTCCCTCATGCCGCAGGCGACACTGCAGGGGCTCAGCCAGGCTCTCTCACCCAGCTTTGCAGTGGCAGACGATGTGTAATTGCTGTTCATTTAAAGGTTAAGTCGTGCAAAACAGACCACACCCGTCTGCCTGGGCACAGCTGCATGCTCTCGAAGGGAGGCCTGCGGACCCCAGTCCCTGTGAGCTGCGGGAGCATCTCGAGGGGCTGAGACTGTCCCCACGGATGCAGCCCAGCAGACCAGCCCGAGCACCGGCTCTGCCCTTTGCCAGTGCGCGCCCTCGGCCAGCGCTGGCCTCCTCACGGGGCTGTGACACTGGACGAGACAGAAGATGGGCACAGCTCAGCCCCAGCCGGGCACGTACACACGTCCAACAGGAGACCCCTGCCATTCTTGGTGGGATGGCTCTCATGGGAGTGTGGCTTGTGAGCTCCCACACACAAGAGGAGGAGGCCCGGGGGTGGAGGGACAGAGGACGCCGTGGAGGTCCCTAAGGTCACAGGTGGCCCGCCGAGGGTGATGGAGAGCAGGGGTACACCTGTGCCGCCGGCCAGCCTGGGCGTGCGGTGTGCCCGCATTTCGACCCGACATCGCGGCATCGGAAGACATGCGTGAGGAAGGGCCTCCTTGACACCTGGGCAGCCCTCCCTTCGGGTCGCCTCTCCCCGTTTGACTAATGGCTGACCTGACATCTTTCAGCAAGTGACCTTGTTGCAGCTGGTAATTCAAATATCTTTCAGCGTCAGAAATAATAAGCACCACTGTGAGATGAACAAGCGAGGCTTAAGTTGAGAGCAGATTAATGGGGTTTTAATATTCCTAATTTAATCACTCTTTTCTGTCGCACTGTGGGCAACATGATGTAGCAGCTAATTATTTTTTTAACCATGATGGGGATCTTTCCTAATCAATTTTATATTTAACATGAATGAAGGGAGGGCAGTGATTAATGAGAGAATAAATCTCACCAAACAGGCACAAGCAAGCAATCAGTTAAAAATACGGCAGGATGATTTTTTTTTTTCTTCTCGTGAAGCAAATTCTGCAGGGATGGGATGGAGCACCATGTTTAGTCTCTTCCATTCTGAAGCGAAGAAGTACACAAAGTTTTTAAAAATGTGTCCGGTGGAAAGAAAAACCACACCTGCGCTCTCATCTGAAACATTGTACGCTGAGACGTTAGAGACGCGGTTCACAGCTGCTGCCTTCTGCAGGGAGCAGGATGCCGTGGCGGGACACGCATTCCAGGCCGCGTCCCCTTATCTGCGGGCTGGCCTTCCGCAGCCTGGACACAGATGATCAGAAGGTCAAGAGTAGCCGCCGTCACTCACATCACCTCCTCTCATCACGGGGCAGTTTATCATCCCACAGCAAGAGGAAGGGGAATTCGGGACAGCAAGATAGAGAGACCTCATTGACATAATTTTTATTACAGTATATTGTTATAATTATTCTATTTGATTATTAATGTTGTTAATCTATTCCTGTGTCTGATTTGTAAATTCCACATTATCATAGGTATGAGTGTAGGGGAAAGAGCACAGTACACACACGTAGGGTTCTGTACCATCTGACATTTCAGGGGTCCCCTGGGGGGTCTTGGAACACACCCCGCCCCCCCCTGCCCTGCAGATCAGGGGGGACTCCTGTGGATTCAAATGTTGCTGCTGCCCTTTACCATGTGACCTTGGGCATCAGGTTTCTCTCTCTCTCTCTTTTTTTTTTTCCAGCAGGCTCCATGCCCAGCACAGAGCCCAACATGTGGTTTGAACTCACAACCCTGAGATCAAGACCTGAGCCGAGATCAAGAGTCAGTTGCTCAACCGACTAAACCACCCAGGCGCCCCCTCATCGTTTAAAAAGGGGCAATGATGTGCCTTCCTTGGGACCTGCTGAGGGCTCAGTGGGTGAAGGCGCACAGCACGCGCCGGACATGTATGCGCCCCCATCGGACTATGACTCGCAGGACCCCGCAAGGTATGTCGCAGGCTGGGGCCCCACGAGCAGGTCCTGAGAGGAGGATCTGCACCCCAAGGGTGTGTCAGGAGGTGTCCGCAGAGAGCAGAGCAGGTGCGTGGGGAGTGAGACTGAGGAACAAGGCCACACAAGGGGACGGTATCAGGCTGAGGCCACCGCGGTTTGGAGACTAAGGTCACAGCTGAGCATGGTCCCAGTCAGGGGCTCAGGAGCTGACCATGTGTCATGAGAGGGGGAGACATAGATTCCCGAGCACTTTCAGTCCTCTTGCCGACCAGCCTCCAGCAGCCTGAGGACAGCCTTCCCAGCCAGGTCCCTGGTGCCATTTGTTGAGCGTGCACAAAAAGGGGAAGGCTCTCAAGGTGACACGGGGAGAGGCAGGCGGCGACCGCCCAGGAGGCTGGGCTGCCGGCCCCCCAGTGAGAATGTGAACAGGCACAGACCCCTGCCCAGGGAAGGAGATCCTTGGGTCCCAGGCCAACTTGTACCCTGGGAGCCGTGGGTCCCTGAAGGCCTGGGGCGAGCTCGGTGCACTGTGCCCCACCCCCAGGAGGAAGGTGCCCTTCCTCCGGCCAACGGAGCCCTCCCCTCAGCATCTCGCCTCCCAAGCAGGGCTGGACGTCTTTGCTAGTGTTTTTGCTCATTCACTCAACCTTTTATCAAATGTCTGTGCCAGCCAGCCAGCACACCGAGGTCCAACGGTGAGCAAGGACGAACAAAGCCCTGTTCTCACAGAGCTGACATCCTGGAGGAGACAGGCAGCAATAATGAGACAGAAATGCAGTGCTTCTCAGAAGGAGAGTTTGGGGGGCGCCCGGCTGGCTTAGTCGGTGGAGCGTGCAACTCTTGATCTGGGGGTTGTGGGTTTGAGCCTCACATTGGGTGTAGAGATGACTTAAAAATAACATCTTCAAAAAAAAAAAAGAGGGGCGCCTGGGTGGCTCAGTCGTTAAGCATCTGCCTTCGGCTCAGGTCGTGATCCTGGGGTCCTGGGATCGAGCCCCGCATCGGGCTCCCTGCTCCGCGGGAAGCCTGCTTCTCCCTCTCTCACTTCCCCTGCTTGTGTTCCCTCTCTCACTGTGTCTCTCTCTGTCAAATAAATAAATAAAATCTTTAAAAAAAATGAAAAGAAAAAGAAAAAGAAAGAGAAAGAAGGTGAGAGTTTGCACGAAGAAAAACAAAGCGGAGGGGAAGCAGAGAGGGCCTGCGGGGGGGCGGTGGGGGGAAGGAGGGCAGTGCTGAAACGGGCCTCTAGGGGAGCTAAACAAGGGGCTTTGAGCAAAGACCCACAGCATGTCTTGGAGAAGAGCGGTCAGGGCAGTGGGAATAGCAGGTGCAAAGGCCCAGAGGCAGGAATCTGCCTGGCCCTCAAGAGACAGAAGGGAGCTGCCGTGGACACAGTAAGGGGTGAGGAAGTGAGGGCTTGGGGAATGTGCAGGTCTGGGTGAGGCCCTGGGCCCTGTTGAGGACCATGGCTTCCCTTAGAGCCGACCATGTCCCTTGGCAGGTGACAGTGATGAACACTGGCATGGTGCTTAATAGTTTTTCAAAGCTATAATTCTTTCACATACATTTAGCTTTCTAAACTCCATATTATTTCACCTCTCCCCCAACCTTCCAGATGGGAACCGAGGGACGCCGCTTGCTAGGGACACAGGCCAGTGGCTGAGCCTGGCGTGCCCACCCCCCCCAATGCTCCCTCCTCTCCCCAGAACGTGGGACCCGGGAGAGGACAGAGCTCTAAGTCCTCGTGTCCTTCTGCGTTTGGAGCGGATGGCTTGTTTCCCATTTGACCTTAGAAGTTTTATGTAAACATCGTCTTGTGTTTAATTTCCTTTGTTTGGCGAGGTCAATTAAAGGTCTCAACATAATTCTACTAAATCGCTGGTCTCCCGAGTGAATAGTTGAGGCCAAGTCATAAAACTTTGCAAGGGGGAAGCAAACATTTGCCTTGAAACCCTTCCTTCGCCCCAAGGAAAACCAGGGGAAGGAAGCATTCTGTGGAGAAATGGTGCTGCAGTCCAGCCGGGGTCTTTGTTCCATTTTCTCGTTCGTGTCCTGCTTGCCCAAAGACAGTCCACATGAAAGCGGGGGCCCTGGTCCCTGCCTGTCCCCCACTCTGGGAATTAGCTCCTTCCTTCTCAAACCCAGGCACAGTGCAGCGGGCTGGCACGTGGCTCCTCTCCCTCCACCAAGACAGAGGGGGGCAGGGAGGCTCCGGTGCCTTTGGGGGGTGCGGGGGGGGGTAGGGCAATAGTTCCTCGGGTTCTTCCCACACGCTGGAGGAACACTGAACTCAGAGGGGATATGTCCCTGAGCATTTTTCTCCCTTGGTTTTTAAGCCATTTCTGCTTGAAGGAAATTGAATCCATGTGTGTTTGGATTAATTGCTTAACTCCTAAAAATGTTTTGTAAGAGCAATTTGAGGTCCAAGAACCTTTTAAGTTGCTTTCCACCCTTTTCACACGGCCCTGGGCTGGGGATCTGAGCGAGCCCTCTTGGGTCAGTGCTGTGCTCACAGCTGGATCAGGCTAATGAGGAATTAACAGCCCCACGGGGTGTTCGCTTCACCCCCAAACGAGGTGGGCTTACGAGCCCCACACCGAAATCCAGGAAGCTTCTCTGTCCTGCTGGGTTTGGACTTCAGAGAACAGGGACACCTTCTGTGGTCTCGTGTTTAATCTGAGGCTTCCTTTCCCTGGGTCTGATTTCCAGAACTTGGCTGCCTCTCTGGCGGGGGGAAAAATGCCGTAGAAGAAATTTCAGGAACCTTGAAAGGAGGAACTTCTCAAACTAGGAGGTGCTGCGGAGTCCTGCCTTCTGTTCTCGAAACTGTTCCAACGCTCAGGCATCGAGACTGATGGGACGCCCCTCTACCATGGCTGGAAGAAGAAAAACCCACCTTCTTGAGGGGCCAAATCCAGCAGGAACTGAGGTTGTGAGTGTGGGGGGGGGTGTTAATGCCCAGCCTGGGCGCCTTCCTCTCTCTACCATCCCCAGACCCCAGGTCCCCCAGCTGCTAAATGGAAGTAACCTCTGACCTCAAGGTGTTCTGAGAGCCAGTGTCAGAACTCGGACTCCTGGTGCCTCCAGATCACAGGCGCCCCTCCCCCTCCGTCCCAGCGCCACCTCCTCGTTCCAGCGCAGCCCCACCTGCAGTTGGTAGGATAGCGTGTTTCCCTTTATATGCAATGTCCAGAAGGAGCACGGCCCTAGAGACGGAAGGCTGATTGGTGGTTGCTCCCGGGGGCAGAGGGAGGGAGAAATGGGGAGCACCGCCAATGAGTGCAAGGCTCCCCTTTGTGCGCGGATGAGGACGGGTTCGGGAGAAGAGGGGGGTGGAGGTATGACGGGGTTTTCCGGCCACAGCTGACTTTTAGAAAGTTTGCGCAGGGGGCGGTGTAGGTGACAAGCAGGGGACAAGGGAGCCGTAGGGAGCATTAGAATGCTGTCTCAAGAGTCCAGATGAGAAACGAGGTTTGGGGGCAGGAGTGGGTTCCAGGGAAAGAATGGCGTGGGAATAAAATCTTCCCTCGGTACCAGGAATACATTTTTTCCCCAAATGGCAGGTGAGTCGAAACATCCCAGTGAAACACGTTGCCTGATAGACTTTACCTTTTGCTCCCCGCCGAGCCTTTATGGTGCGAAGCGCAGGGCTCACACCCAGCCTGTACCGGGCCACCTGTCCCCCTCGGCCCCGGCGCACCTGTGTCCCCAGGGTCCCACGTGGAGCCAGAGATTGCACACGGGTAACTCTGAGTCTCCCCGAACTTTGCTTCCAGAATCGGAGCTACACTCGTTTCTGTGCACAGTCAAGCCGCTGTGGTATAATGATCTCCATCCTTCTTTGACACACCGTCTGTTGTGTGGTCTGAAACCTTCATAGTTCTGCCCTGTCTGAAACCTGATGCCTTTTCTGAAGAGTACTTGGCGCTTATTCTGTGTGCCTGGAGTTGGTTTGTTGGTTTTTTGTTTTAGGATTTTATTTATTTATTTTAGAGAGAGAGGGAGATCACAAGCAGGGAGAGCAGCAGGGGCAGAGGGAGAAGCAGACTCCCCGCTGAGCAGGGAGCCCTACGCAGGGCTGGATCAGGACCCTGAGATCATGACCTGAGCCAAAGGCAGACGCTTCACCGACTGAGCCACCCAGGGGCCCCTCTGTGTACCAGGAGTTTTGAAATGGCATTTGGTCCAAAGCAAGAAAGTTCTGGTCTCATCTTTATAAAAGTATTTTTTAAAGGGGGAGAGGCAGTAGTTACTGATGCATAAGCAACTCTAATGAGAATATCAAGTCTGATAAGAATGTAATTAGGAAGAACTATAGACAATCTGGTAAGGTATTTCTAACATCAACTAAGCCGCAGTTTTGCCCAGTTTGCCTGTGTATTTGGCTCTCCTTTGGGTCCTTGCATCAGGGACAAACACTCAAGAGGTAGAGTTGTGGACTCTTACATGGAAACTTGTCACGTGTCGGTTGGTCAAGCCCCAGGTCCGGGGGGGCTGACATCCACCCTCACACTCACACCTGCTGCATGGTCAGCTGACCCAGGCCTGGCCAATCAGTGAGCTCCGTCCTCCTGATTTCCTCCGAGGCAGGCAGGCTGGTGGGAGGGAAGCCCAGAGAGTCTGTCTCTGCTGCTGCTTGAGGAGGGTCTGCCTGGAAATGAAGCTGACCCAGAGGAAAGCGGACGTGAGACACAGCAGTTCCTGAAGATATGGTTTACACGTTGAGGTCCAACCATGTGGAACATTCCAGACTTTTCAGTTACGTGAGCCAAAACACCTCCCACCTTTTTTAAAAAAATATTTTTTTATTTATTCATTTGAGAGAGAGGGAGAGAGAGCACGAGCAGGGGGAGCGGCAGAGGCAGAGGGAGAAGCAGATTCTCCGAGGAGCAGGGAGCCCGACGTGGGACTCGATCCCAGGACCCTGAGATCTTGACCTGAGCCGAAGCCAGATGCTTAACCGACTGAGCCCCCCGGACCCCCCTAAAACAGCCCCCTCCTTCTTTTACTTCAGCCAATTAAACTGGTCTTTGATCCTTTGTCATCAAGAGTCCTTCCGGCACCACGTCATTGTGGCTACTGTTTTTCTATTAAAAACCATGCAGAGATCAGTGGCTGCTCATTTGCAGCCCGGCCCACCATCAGGTCCCTCTGCCTGGTATCAGAAGGCTCTCCCCACCCTGGCCTCCTTCTGCATCCTGTTTCTCTCTAGGGAACCAGCAGCACCATCCTGTCGGGTAAGACCTCTTTGTCCCCTGAGCTTTAAAGATGCTTGCCTCAGACTCGGGTTCATTGGCCTGTGGGCCCCCACCTCCCTCCGCAGCTTCCTGGGGACTAAGCCCTGTGTGCAGACACCTCAGTGTCCCCCACGTGGTCCCCTTACCATCCCCTTGGCCCAGGAACACGGGTCATCCCCTCCAAACGTTATTCAGGGGAGCATTCGTGTGTGAGCCACTACGATGTTTGGGCTGGGGAGGAAGGGAGGTTCCCACCACCGCACACCCAACAGCCGACCCAGGTTCAACCTCACAGAGCCCGTTCCTAGTCCTCCTTTGGCTTCCCCGGCAACTGGGATCCCCGCCCACCCCTGACAGCCCCCAGCAGGTGGCTCGGGTACCCGCATCCCTCTGCTTGTGCCCTGCGTGAGTCTCCCCAACTCAAGCCCCCTCCGTGTTTCTCCAGCCGATGCACCCCGCCCCTGCTGTCTCGCACCTCCCCCTCTTCACCAGGGCCCCATTCCACCCCCCCAGCTGTGGATCCTCACTTCAGGGACTGGAAGAGTCTGTTAAGGACCCTCTTTTTCCCCTGCATCCCTCAGCAAGATGAGGGAGCAGGTGAGATGTATTTTCCTGCCCACGGGATTTATAGCACCCTTCCCCGGGAGGCAGGGCCAGCCGCACTCATTCTGGGTTTCCAATAACCATCTGTTTTCTCTCTGCAGCCTGTGATGAGGTCCCCCCTTGGCCATCTCTCCTCTAGGCCCTGCTGACACTCTGTTCATCATTCCTCCTGTTTCCAGACCCTTCACCCTCCGGGCCTCTCCCGTGAACGCACTCGTGTTTGCTCATGTCCTTCAACTGAACGCTGGCCTCAGGCTTCGACGAGCCCCGTGGCCTGCAGTTTCTATGAGCTGGTTCCACGCTGCTATCAGTGCAGTCCACGCCGGCTGGTGTCTCTTCCCAGCGGTGTTCCCGTTGGCTCCCTCGTACACCTCTGTCCACTGGCAGCAACTTCCCACAGGGGCATCCTTCTGTCGGGTCAGGCCTCCCTGGCTTCTAATGATGGGATAACAAATGGGAATGATCTCTGGCAATGTTTGACCCACTGGTTCGTGCACACTGTGGCTTATCGTTTAATTACTTTTGAGTCTCGACTCTATCAGCATTCATTTTAAGCATCTCTCCCAGGTTTATGCCATTTGCAGATTTGAAAAGCACATCCCCTACTTCTATGCACTTCTACTGTAGAAGTGCTGACTGGTACCAGGACAGAGCAGAGTCCTGTGGCCCTCCACGACAGCTCTCCTCGCAGGCTGACACACTGTGCGCAGCGTCCAACGAGCTATGAATTTCCCTATGGTTCTATCATGTAGTCTTTGACCACCTAATCTGCAAATGTTTATGCAAATCCGTGTGTTTGCCTGAGACATTCTTTGGATCCATCAATCTAATAGCTCATTGAAAATGGGGAAAAAGATTCGTACAGTGTGTGTTAGTCTTAGCGAGTTTCCAGTTTTGTGTTGCCTCCCTTATGCATTCATGGGCCGACTCTCTAATAGTCTTATCCTTTTCTAAAGATTTACAACACATTTGCTGGCCTATTATTTCTAGAATTTTCTTTTATTCCTTTCTTTTGGAAAAGCAGGTCAGGTGTGGTTCATGGCCAGTGTTTCAACACCTCCCTGGCCCTCCATAATTTTTTGAAATTACCAGCAGTAGCTCTAAGACAATTGCTGCTGGCAGCTTAAACACCCGGGGAGGCAATTCATCGGGGTCTCAGGAAGGAACTCATTTACAGCAGCTCAGGTAGCGATTTTTCTGTCTTTGCTTACATCTGGTTGCAGTCCCGTCTTTGCATTTAATTTAACAAACAGCCTCTGAGCTCCTGCGGCATGCCCTGTGCTTTGTTTTAACCTTTTCAATTTGAAGACCATTCTCTTTCCTGGAACAGGCAGAAACAGGATGAGCATTGCACTTGTCTGCCTTCTCTCTTTTCTTGAGGGGAGACCGTGGGTGTCCCTGTTCACCTTGATCTGAAGGTCGCTTTTAAGGGTGTGTGTGTGTGTGTTGTGTGTTTGTATCTTGAGATTTCCAGTTTGTTCCCGACTCTGTGCTGCTAGTCATCAAGTTCATGCCCTTTTCTCTTTCCTCCAGCTCTTTGGGTTCATTAAAAAAACAAAAACAAAAACAAAAAAACACTGAAATGAGGCATGACTGACATACAAAAAGCTGTACATATTTAATGTATGCAGCTTGTTGAGTTTGGAGATAAGTACATGCCCCTGAAACCATCACCATAATCTATGGCACAAACATAACTATTTTCTCCAAAGTTTCTTCCTAGCTTCTTTACTATTATTATCATAACACTTAACATGGGATCTACCTTCTTAGCAAATGTTTAAGTATAAAATACAGTACTGTTTACTATAGGGGCTGGGATATCCTACGATATGCAGTAGATCTGAGGACCTATTCATCTTGCATGACTGAAACCTTGTACCCTTTGACTAATACCTCCCCATTTTCCCCTCCTCCCAGCTGTTGGCAACTACCATTCTACTTTCTGCTTCTATGAGTTTGACTATTTTAGATTCCTCACAAAAGCGGTATCATGAGGTATTTTCTCTCTGTCTGGTTTATTTCACTTGGGCACACTTGTTTTGGTCTATTTCTGGGTACTGTGTTCTGTTCCATTGATCTATTTGTCCAATTCTCTACCAACGCCACAAACAATCTTGATTACTATAGATAGATAAAAAGTCCCAGAGTAGGGTAGATTTATTCCTCTTGTTTTACTCTTTTTCAAAATTATCTTAGCTATTCCTTTAATTTTCCATAAAAATTTTTAGAATAATCTTGTCTACAGCTATGAAAAATCTTGCTGGAATCTTAATAGGAATTGCTTTACACTGTGTCAATTTGGAAAGAATGGACATCTCTACTATGACCAATCCATTAACATGGTATGTCTCTCCATTTATTTAGGTTTTCTTTTATTTCTTTGATCAGCGTTGTGTAGTTTTCAACATATAAATCCTATGCTAAATTTTCTTAGGTTTACACCCAAGTATTTCTCTTGTTTTTTTTTTTTTTTGAGTGGTTGATTGTTTTTAAATTTTGGTGTCCTTGTGTTTATTGTTAGTATATAAAAATATGATAACTTTTTGTATGTTTATCTTATATCTTGTCACTTTGCTGAACTCACTTATAAGTTCCAGGATTTAAAAAAAAATTATTCCTTGTGGGCACCTGGGTGGCTCAGTCAGTTAAGCGTCTGCCTTCAGCTCAGGTCACGATCCCAGGAGCCTGCTTCTCTCTCTCTCTTTGCTGCTCTCTTGCGTGCGCTCTCTCTCTTTTTCTCTCTCTCTCTTTGCTGCTCTCTTGCGTGCGCTCTCTCTCTTTTTCTCTCTCTCAAATAAATAAAATCTTTTAAAAAAGTATTCCTTGGAATTTTCTAAGTAGACAATCATGTCATTTGCAAATAGTTTTATTTCTTCCTTTCAGATCTTTATGCCCTTTATTTGTTTGTCTTGCCTTATTGCACTGGCTGGAACTTCTAGAATTATCTTGAAAAAGAGTGGTAAGAGTAGACATCCTCCCCTTGTTCCCAATCTGAGCAGGAAAGCATCCAGTCTTTTACTAATAAGTATAATGTAATCAGCAAAGACCCTTTTCCCATACAAAGTCCCATTCATAGGTTCCTGGAGGGCATGTCTTTTGAGAATTTCCACTCACCTCAGTGCAGGTGGTGAGTTGCTCTGGGCATACTTGCCCACACCTTGCCTTGCCAGCATCCAGTCAGGGGCTGAGCACTGTGGCCTAGGAACTGAGCAAACTACGAAGTGGGCCGGTCTCTGAAGAGAGACCACCTCCTACCAGCATTCGAGGTGGAAGGTGAGACCTAATTATGTCAGGTGGGAATGTTTTGCAGGCAGGAGAGATGGGCAGCCTTGCTGCTCCTGGAATCAGAGGCAGCTCCACCTGAGGCAGGGGGATGGAGAAGACGGAGCCTCCCTCCTTGGGTAGAAAGAATGCTAAGCTGGGGCTTGGGCAGACCCAGGGGAAACTGCAGACATTCGGGGACTTGTCAGCAGGGCTGTGAGCCGAGCAAGGAGCAGGCTGGATTTGGGTAGCTGGGCAGTTCTTCCAAATCGAGATATTTTTTAACTAAGACTTAAGTCCTGAGCTGGACACCAAGAAGGACTCTATCTCCTCACCATCTGTAATTGCTTGTGACCTTATAAATCCCCTCATCTCTGTGGGTCATGTTTATCTCATTCCTGTTAGCTGGCTGGAGGCTGGGTTGTCATCCACCATCCCCAAATAGTTATCGAGTCTCTATTTTGCAATAGACACGATAAAATACACTCCCTGTCTACAAAAACTCCCTACCCTGGGGGAGAAAAATAAATAAAACATCATCCAAAGGCAGCTAGCTAAGCATTGTAACAAAGGCTGCATGTGGATGGCTGCTGGGGACCAGGCTAGGGGCTCACACCCTTTTTACAGATGTGGACACTGAGACTCCTCCCAGGGGCAAGGCCAGTATTATAGCCCACATAGCTGTTAATGGTAAGGCCGGGATTCCACACATAATCCATGTGTTGTCAAAGTCTTACTCTTTCTGGAACCACATGCTGCCCATGAGTGGAAGTGGAGGGGTGTGGTGACAGTTGGGGGTGATGCCTGTGTAAAGAAAGGGGGGAGCAGAATGGGGCAGGGAGGGCCCCCCCTGGATGCTTTCTCACAAAGCCTGGGGGGTTCTCAGAAGTGAGCTCTAAACTCAGACCTGGAGGAGGGGAGGGGAAAGTGTTCTGGGCAGAGTGAGCAAGCAGCTTATCCAAAGGCCCAGAGCCTGGACAACATGAAGCTGTTTCACTGTGGTTAGAACATTCCAGAAATAAGGCAGGGTGGGGGTTGCATGGCAGACAGGGCCAGATCAGGAAGAGGACTCCTGAGCCATGTTCTGGAATCTGGTCTTTACCCTGAGCCACGGAAGGGCCCGGGGTGTTCTGGAACATGGATGAGCATGCTGCCTGGCTCCATCTGGAGGATGCCCAGGCCCACTGCTCACCTCCTCCTGTTCCTTCCAGTCCCCTCTTAATTGTTTCTGCCCAGCGCCCAGGCCCCCAGTTGCAAGTCCCAGTAACCCATGCTCTTGAGAGCACCGGCAGGAATTGGGGCCAAGAGAGCAGAAACGGGGGTGTGGAAGTGCAGAGGGAACTATTGTCTGGAAATGACTGGGATGCCCGCCCTGCCACCCAGAGCAGGGGTCAATCCGACAGGCCAGGCAGCAGCACCCAGGTGAGGAGGTGCAGGTGTGTGGCTGGGCTGCAGGAGGGAGAAACAGTGGTGGGAAATGCCCTAAAGGATAAGGCAGCCTGTCTCTGGCCTCTCGGCACCCCTTTTGCCTCCTGGGGGGTTGGGGCTCTCCCAAAGCCTGGCACAGGAACCCCTTCTACTCTTGGGGTGACTCAGGTCATGTTGGTTGAGCCCAACCTTGAGAGGTCATGCAATTCATATCGTGCCTGGGAGTGGGACCAGACCCATGCTGAGCCAGACTGGCAAGGCAGCCCCTACTCTGGGCCCCCCAAGGAGAAGTTCCCAGGTATCATCATCAGCCACCCACCCCCACAGCGCGGAGAACGCAGACCCCCAGCCCTGGCCCCTCTGCCTTCCTACTCAGCCAGCAGGTTGCCATGGTGATGAGCCAATGTGAGCATCTCTCTTTAATGCCAGAGTCTTTCTAGGCTCTGCCCTGCCTGGCCCCAAACGCAGCCCTGGGTGGTGATCAAATAGCAAGGAGAGGAACTGGGACCAGCAAGGGGAGGGAAGGGGTCAGGGATGATTGCTGATCTGGACACCGCCCTGAGAGTTACTTCCCAGGGGAAAGTGCCAGGAAGACGAATGAAGCAAGGACTACAGTGTCGTTAGACTTTTATTTCAGGTGGAGGGTGGTGGGGAGAGGCTGGGGCTCTGCCTTTGAGCTTGTGAATGCCTATTGGGGCCCAAATGATGGAGCAGGGGCTCCCCGCTGAGCTAAGGGAAGGCCAGTAGGATTGGCTTCACCTCTGCCCACACCTGGAGGAGTAGAGGGCTGGGAGTGGGGAGCCTGGAGTGCTCCTTCCTACCCTGACCCGCAATCTGTGCAGAACTGAGCTCCAGCTTGAGTCCCGTGGTTAGTCCTCTGCAGACTCACGTTTGTCACCTGCTAGAGCAGGGTGCAAGGGACTTGGGCTTTTCCCTCTGGCTCTCCTGCTTTGTCCAGGCATGAGCTGGTCCAGCTGGAAGACCACCCTTGAGATGAGGGGGTTGAGGCTGCGGCAAAACTGGTCTGCCCACCCAGCCCTGTTACCAGCAGAGCAGGTCCCTGAGCCACGTGCTGGATACCCACGGACGTGCATCTGACAGTCATGAGGGATTAACAGGATCTTTTTCCTAACCTCCAGCAATGATTTCCAGAACCTCCTTCCTCTCTCTCCGGTTCCCTGGTACACCGCACTCCCCAGGTCACCGATGCGATGTTTCATCTTGTGTCCACTTGGCCAGACAGTAGTACCCAGTTATTTAATCGAACACTAATCTAGGTGCTGCTGTGAAGGTATTTGGTAGATGCGGTTGCCATGCAGAACCAGATGACTGAGAAAACAACACCTCCCACCAAACTGGTGGTGAGCCTCGCCTAATAAGTCGAAGGCCTCCAGAGCCCAAACTGCACTTTTCTGGAAAGAAGGAATTCTCCAGACTGAGGCAGCAACTCCTGCCCAAGTCCCACCAGGCCTGCCCTACAGATGTCAGGCTCGCCAGCCCCACAACTACTTGAGCCAATTTCCTAAAACAAACCTCTCTCTGAAGAGTCTTGGCTGATACACCCATCTCTCTGTCAGCTGTCTGGGCAGTGGTCAGTTCTCTCCTTCCTTCCCCCTCTCTGTCTCCCTCTCTCTTTCCCTTTCTCTCCCTTTCTCCTTCTCTCTCTCTCTCTCTCTCTTCCCTTCTCTCTGTGTGTCTGTCTGTCTGTCCATCCTAGCTTCTTTAGGACTTTTCTATTACCTCACCAACTGCTTGGATTCTTTAAGAACAGATAAAAGCCCAGGAACTGACACCACAAACAAGAACCCACTTCCTTCCCTCCTATGTCTGTGGTCTTGGATCTCTCTCTTCCTCTTGTGATTCTGTCCCTGGGGGGCCAGGAACCAGGTTGGGGGGGCTGCTGAGATGTCCTGGGGGTAGGGAGGCTGAGACAATGCTCTCTCTGTGTCTGGGCAGGGCAGAGTGGGATGGAGCTGGGGAAGGGGGGCACACTGGGCCATAAGACATCGGTCCTCTGTCCCACAAGGTTTTATTTGGAAGTCACACAAGGTTTTATTTGGAAATCAGAGTCTGCAGCCAAATGGAGGCTGGACACTGCTGGTTTGGGCTGCCCTCAGTCTAGGCTGATGACCGAGGCCAAGGGAGGCACGTGGCTTAAGGGGGCCCTCGCAGCGGGTAATGCAGCACTGTGTTGGCACTGGGGTCTTCCGACCCTCAAGTCCATGCTCTGCCACGGGGCTGCCTGTGCCCAAACAAGCTGGATGGCGGTGGTGGGTATGAGCAGTGAAAGGCCACAAAAGCGGCGTGAGGGTCCAAGGAGATGGGGAGGGAAACCAAAAAGGTTCTAAGGAAGAGATTACACTGGAGATGACCTCGAAGGACAGTCGGGCCATGGCCTTTAGAAGGTGAAGGGGGGAGAGCATTGTGGGAGGGGACAGTAGGAGCACAGTCTGGAGGGGGAGCAACAAGGGGACAGTGGGGGGCATCCTGCTCCCTCTGTGCTGGAGCTCAGCATCTACGTGGGGGTGGCCGGAAGAAAGACCTGAAGGTTGCTTGCGCCAAATGTGGATGATCCTACCCTTCCTGCAGCTGGGTCTGTGCTGGGCGTGGTAGGCAGTGGGGAAGTTGAGGGTTTTGAGCACGCAAGTGGCACCCCCAGGGTAGGACCAGAATGGGAGGGCAGCCTGGGAGGCAGCTGGGACCAGGACATTGGGAGGAGGAGCAGGGCAGAGGGGAGATGCGGCCTTGAACTAGGGGCGGGGGTCTAGCTGTTCAGACAAGGGGACATACAATTAGGGGGTCCCTCCCAGAATGGTGAAATCTGCATCAGGAACAATAGATATGAATCAGCTGGTACTTGAAATGGACAAAGGGGTTTTCTATTTAGGAGAAGCTGCTTGCAAAGCAAGGAATCATCTCATAATTAGACTATGACAACCTAAGTTTTAATTTTGTATTTAGACTTATAAAATATCCGAGGCTGTTATCTGTATTGGTCCCCGCTGTCACTGGACCGTTCATTCCCCCAAGCCTGAGCCCGAGGGATGGAAAGTGGAGCCCCTCGCTGCACTCCCACCACCCCTGCCCCACCGAGTCGGGGTGCCCGCGTGTTGCAGACGGCTGGAGCAGAGAGGGGATGGGCGAGCTCCTCTGGCACTAGGGAAGCTTCCCGGGGCTGTTGAAACAAATCCCCACAACCTGGGGGCCTGAAAACAACAGAAATGGGTTCTCTCAGAGCTCTGGGGGACACTAGTCTGAGATGGGGGTGTCCGGAGCTGTGCTCCCTCCCGGGGCTCCAGGGGAGCCGCTCTTCCTCCCTCTTCCAGTTCCAGTGGCCACGGGCCTTCCAGGGCCTCGTGGCTGTCTCCCTCCAGTCTCTGCCCCCCTCTAAGTCCTCACATGGTTTCATTTCTTCGCTGTTTCCCTCTTCTGTTTCTTATTAGGACGCTGGCCATTGGATTTAGGACTCACCCACATAATCCAACATGATCTCATCTGAGGTCCGTAACTTGACTACATCTGCAAAGACCTTTTTCCCAAATAAGGCCACACACACAGGTTCTGGGGATTGGCATGAGGACACCTCAAGGACACCACTGCACCCACCACAGGCTTGGGAGGACTGGGATTTGGGGCAGGACCCAGCCTCCCAGGGAGTGCAGTGGGTGCTCTCTCCCCCCGTCCCCCCATGCCCTCCTTGCCCAGTCAGCCCTCTCCCCCAGTCAGCCCCCTCCCCCAAGACACCCCCACCTGGACTGCCCTTCCTAAGCACACATCCTATCCCCACATTCTGCCTTCCAACAAAATTAGCATATTTTTAAAAGATTTTATTTATTTATTTTTGCGAGGCGGGGAGGGGCAGAGGGAGAAGGAGACTCCCCACTGAGCAGGGAGCCTGATGCGGGACTCGATCCCAGGACCCTGAGATCAAATTAGCCTATTTCGCATCCATCCTTCCCCTCCTCTAACCAGACAAGTCCTGCTCTCATATCAGAGTAAAGCAGGTGTGTATTCTAAGCAGGGACCAGATCCAGGACATAATCAGATGTGGGTTTGAATCCTGCCTCACGGATGAATCCACTGTGTGTTTAAGGTCAAGTGCTTTAACTTCCGCGGCTCTTCCTCTCCCCAGCCATAAAATGGCGATAAGAAGACCCTTGCCCTTTTGGCTAAAAAAATAGTTTCTGGAATGTATTTCCTCCCACCCCATCCCAGCAATCTCTTTCCACTAATAATAGACTTAAGTATTTAAATTTAATTTGTTAGAGGTCTGATA